CACTAAAGATTTTGATATTTAGTCGTAAGCAAAAATGCTTGCAAGAAGCGAAAGATAAGCCTATATTAGTCAGGTATCATCCTATATATTGAACCAGAAATAGTTCGGTATAATATAGTTATTTTAAAAATACGGTATTTGCAAAATTTATCATGCTATTACGATAGTCTCTCTTGCCATTCAATAAACTGCATAATTATTTTAATTGTTTATCATAAGAAAGTTAGTTTTAAGCAGATTATGAATTATTAAAGCAGTTAAATTAATTAATTTTAAAAAATAAAAACTTAGCTAGTTAAAACTGTACATTGTAAATCACAACTAAATTTTAATGATTATAATTTATGTATTTTATTACGTGGCCACCATTTTATTTAATGTATTTTAAAAATTTAATGTCAAGCAAATTTTAAAAATTGATTTTAATAAATAAAATATTATATTGTAGCTAGCGATTAAGCTTGTACTGTGTCATACAGTATAACCAAGGAATTTTTATAATTTGTAAAAATCCAGTTAGTTTAAGCTGTAATTTTAATGCTATAACATTGTCATCTACTAAATAAAATAAATTATTAAATAAATTGGTTTGAAACAGCTAACCCTTTTAACTACTTACTAATTGAGCAATATACTTTTAAAAATTTTAAAAATAATTAATAAATTATATACAATTACAGGTCATTTCCTATTGACAATGCATTTGATGCCATTGATAAGAAAGTCTCCAAACGCCCGGATAATAAACGTGGCCTCTATTGGTCACATGGCTGGCAAAATCCACCTTGATAACATTAACCTACGTAACGGCGCCTACAGTCCGTTCAAAGCCTACGCTCAGAGCAAACTCGCAAACATACTGTTCACTCGGGAAATGGCCCGACGTTTGGGCTATAAAACCAATATCAAGACCTATAGCCTACATCCCGGTGCTGTCAACACCGAGTTGGTCCGACATTCAAACTTGGGCTCAATTGGCGATAAGATAATGAAATCCATATTTTTATCGCCAGAAATGGGGTCTCAGACCAGCCTTTATTGCGCTCTTGAGGACAGTCTCGACAATGAGTCCGGATTTTACTACTCGTATGTATTGTCCCTTTGATTCAGATTTTACTGTATTTTTGGACATTATTTTAAAAAAACAAAAGTGTTCACAAATTACTTAAATATATATTGTCTAAAATGTAAATAATGTTCATTTACTTAAAAATTGTTGTCCGGAACGTCCATAAGTATAGCATTGAGTTATTGTTAATGAGTACTATTTTATATTTACAATTATTTACAGTTTTTGATTAAAAAGATTAATTATTTTGACAATATTTGTCAGAAACTGTGAACGAGTGGACGCAATGGTGTTGTCGGCATCCGATGACAAAACCGGAGAAGCCTTATGGGAGTTGAGTCAGGATATGGTTCAACTCGAGCCACACCTACGCCTACGACCGGTTACACCTATGGCCTGGTAGATAGACACCGATTAGTGTCGTAATGTTTATAACAATAATTGTTATTTATTTAAAGTTTTATTTAAATACTGTATAGCATTACACTTATATTTTAACATATTTATTATTAATACTTAAATGTAACTCATACTTTAATTTATTATACTTGGCAATAATATTTTTATATAATATTTTCTTTTCTGTAAATAATGTAGATTATAATTTATAATTTGTTTAAGGTAAAGTTAATTTTATTTTACTGATTATTTAGAATTATATTAATATTATTAATGTTATTGTTAAATATTAGACAAGATTTTATTTTATTATAGAATTCAATTAAAATTATAAACTATAAATTTTATTTAAAACTATTTAAATGATTATTATATAAATAAATATATTAATCAGTGGTCAGAATTGCTGAAGGTCTTATATAAAAAGTAATTTTATTGTCAATATAAACAATTTGTCAAAGTCAAAATTACATTAACGTATAATTTTTTTATATTATTATATTTTATGATGCATTAAATGACAAATTATGAAATATTAGATTTCTAATTGTTTTGATTAATGCACTACATTGTTTTATCTTTTAATATTAATTAACAAGAAAAGTTACAAAAGATATAAATAAATAAAATTATTTTTTATAAATATATAAAATAGGTTTTAAACTGTAGGACAAACTGTAAGAAATTGTTGTATTTTTAAACGTGAATATACTTTTAACTATTATAATCATGAAAGAAAATTTTAATTTTTCATTATTGTATAATAAACTTATTTTATGTTTAATATGGCAATAGGTAATATTAGCAATGATCAATTCTTTAAATGGTGTTTATTAAAACATTTACTTTAACTTTAATATAACAAGTGATTTTATTGACCAGCATGCATGGTACAATAAGTTAAAGGGTTAAATTAAATGAATTTTAATTTCATTTTATATAAATAGATTAATTTTCTTTTAGTTTACGTTTTAGTAGAAACTCAGCTAGTTAAAATTGTAAATTTAAAGCAACAAATATTTTTTGCCGAATAAAAATTATGTTTCATTTAATGGAAAAACGTGATAATTTTTTTTAATAGTTTTAATTTCCTTATTATATTTAATTAAACAAAATAATTAACTAGTGATGATAGTTTTTTCAATTAATTTATTACGGCTCATGGGTTGGTGCAGGGGTCACGTGCACCTCATGTATGTCAGGGTCGGGTTCACCGGTAATACCGTTGAGTTCAGTGCTAATAGTCTTCATCAATGGGTGCTTACGTCCGCCGCAATTGCCGTGAAAGTCGTCCGTATCGATGGACCACACGATAGCACCTCCCAGTCCTTTGCCCTTCAGGTACGACAGCT